TGATGATCTGGCTCCCAGGGTCACCCGGAAAGCACACATAGGCAACTCTTCTGTACTCACTATGAGAAAAAAATATTTAAAATTTTTTAGTAGGTATTTTGCAGATATCTGGAAACAAATCGCGCGTTTTAAAGGTTGTAAATTTTATTTAAACATGATACCTGAATATCACCCCTATTCGTTAAGTAAACAGTAATACTTACAGATCTGTAGATTCAGGAAGCTTTGTGTTTGATGCACCCCTGTCAAACATTTCAGACTTGGCCATGTTGAAAAAGTCGATGACGGCCTCTGTTATTGCCTTTAGCGTCTGTTGATTGTCAACATGAATTCCCACTGTGGTAGTACTAGCTCGAGAAATGAGCCCCTCTCTGCTTATCGTTTAAAAAAAAAAAGGCTATATTCTGCATACCTATGAAGGTAAAGACAACATGATGTTATTTCTTGCATACTTCTTTTAAGGTCTGAGGAAAGGCTCATGCCTGAAAAAAAATTTCGACTCTTCTCGCGCTCAGTGGGTTTATTTTGGTATAACTAATAACTTGTGTCTGTTTTAAATCTTCAAAACATTGTATTTCTATGAGAAAAATRACCAAGAACTTCATAAATTCGCGGGAAAATTTGTGCTTTGTTTGTGAAACACGAGATAAAGTCTTCACAGCTTGATCATTTCAGAGGTCAAACTACCATGCGTTTACTACCTGGAACATGCGAGTATTCAGTTAAAATGTCATTGTTTGCTCATTCAGAATTACCCATTTTAAATACAGTATACACTTCTAATGTTATGTAGCTAGAACTGTCTATTGGAGACAAAACAATGAGTCTGTTGACTGTTTTTCGTGGTCAATTTGAACAGCAGAATTTTSTASCTCGTGTTACAGTAATCTCCACATGCTCCGTGGGGTGTTGCAATGAATTACATCATGTTTATATACTACTTTTCGCGGGAAACAAGGACCGATCCAACTCCGTGCGATTTCGGCGGGTTTCAAGGGAAAATCGGCAATAAATCGCTCGATATGACGTAATGTGACTTGAGAAACAAAATGGCGACTGGATATTGCGTCTTTGGGTTAAAAATCGTGCAATATTCCGTAGAAATTCGAAGTTTTTAACAAAACACCGTTTGTTAAACTTTATAACTCTTTCAGATTGCATTATTTTCGAGAGATATTTGGGGGGCTTATAGACTGAAAGCTTTTAAAAAGATCTATGGTAGTATACCTCGAGATTTTTCTTNACTGGTGACGAGTACGCTGAACGTGACTTTTTGATCCAGCCTTTGTTCAGCATGTCCTCAACATACTGCTTGACTTCGGGGTATAATGGCTTCGGTACAGCGACATAACTTTGCTGAACTGGAACAGAATCAGTTAGTTTAAGTGACATTTGAAATTCTGTTGCGCAGCCTATATCATCGTCGCTTTGMGAGAAAGATTCCGCTTCATTTATAAGCATTGCTCGSGCGAGTTTCTGTTGTTCAGCGCTAAGAGCACCAAAGTTTATATCATCGRTGAAGCTCGCATTAGAATTATATGTTGGAGTTGTGCAATCATTCCTTCCGGTGTCAGTTAATGTGTTAATAGTGGGTTGTATAGTGTTCAGAGTTGTACTTTCTTCCGACAATYCTGCGGGCTTCAMTTCAAGAGGTGTAACCRAGCGAACTAATTGTAGTTTCCYCAGGGGTGTTTTCTTCTTTAATGTAATGTTATGGTCAGTCAGGTTTACTATCTCAACACTGACTCGATTGGAAGACGGCTTGATTACTGTTAACTGGGAGTCCGGTATATCTAGACCCTCGGGTAAACTACAAGATGGATATGCTTCAAATAAAACTGGAATCCGCTTAAGGGTGTGGCCTACTTTAGCATAACATGATACCCGTAACGATTTACCCCTTGGAATGACAAGGTCGTTCTTTCCTGNAACTCCGTGCGATTTCGGCGGGTTTCAAGGGAAAATCGGCAATAAATCGCTCGATATGACGTAATGTGACTTGAGAAACAAAATGGCGACTGGATATTGCGTCTTTGGGTTAAAAATCGTGCAATATTCCGTAGAAATTCGAAGTTTTTAACAAAACACCGTTTGTTAAACTTTATAACTCTTTCAGATTGCATTATTTTCGAGAGATATTTGGGGGGCTTATAGACTGAAAGCTTTTAAAAAGATCTATGGTAGTATACCTCGAGATTTTTCTTTGTTGGCCGTAACGAAGCTGCTACGCTAAAATTTCCATAAAATTATTATTTTTTCATATTTTCAGGTATCCTACTATAAAAAGTTGCATTTTTATATTATTTTTATGATTCTTGAAGAAATTATTTAAAAAATTAGATATTTAAGGAGTTATAAGAGTTTAAAGCGTTTTTAAGCTGTTGCTATGGATAAGGATCACGCCTTCACAAACAAACTAGAAGGGTGTTGACCTGTATTTTTCAAATCTCCATTATATGTACTTTCATTATGTATACAGAAATGGCTTATATATTTTTTTCAAAATCTCTTCAAAATGACACTGGTTTACACTTTCCTCAGACCTTAATTGACTTTATTAGTTAACCTTTCCCAGAATTCCGTGCGATGTTCTTAAGACAGTTGTCCTTCCTCGCCCTGGCTCTCCTACAATGCATACTTGAGGACAATTATCGAAGAGTGAGTTGACATAAGCGGCATGCATAGCCATTACCATTTCCCCTATCCCCAGATAGGCGGAAACCCACTTTTCGTCGTCAAAAATGTGGTCCAGATTCTGAGATTGAATACACACATACTAATGTTTTTATTAACGCTTTTAAGAATTGGCATACTGTAATCTAAAAGAAGGAACAGATGAATGGAATTGAGTTGAATTATCTGTAAGCTTTTTAAAAATATGTTAAATTTGCAGCTAACAGGATTTAAAATAAATTTAAAATAAGGGATTTTCGACACTAGCTTTAATCGTATTGACCGAATGTTTTTTTAATTATCTGTAAGCAAGTTATTAATATGTCTTCAGAAATTACTTAAATCAATTCTTACGTAAATCTGAGTAGTAAGTTTTCTCAATCACGAAAGTATACTATAGCAATCAAGCCGCTAATGGCGACACAACTCGAAGATTGTTAGACAAGTATACAGTGTACATAAATCTGTATGAAGCCTCAGACTTTGTTTAGATATGGTCTAATTTCGACAAAAAATCTATAAAATGAAAATATTGAACTTGAAATTTTGAATTTAATAATTTAAATGCATCCGTAACACCTTTAACGACATCGACTTAACAATTCGCAGGCAGTTTTCCATTGTCTGTACTCATATTGACAATGAAATAGACGTCAAAAATGCGTAATAATCCTTGAAATCGTCGTATCTATGAGCCATATTGACACTATATCTCCTAAAACGACTTCTGAAATCAACAGATTAATTGGTAAGAAGCTTATACAAGAACTTCCAGACCTCAAAAATCACATTTTGTGTGTTTAAAAAGACACTTCTGTATGAAAACACCTGGCCGTCTTGGTTACGGACTTCTAAATGCCCGTATGTTAACAGAAAAAATAAGTGACCTATTAACTAGTCCGCCTCACCTCACACACCATCATCTCCCTCCTATAACTCTTCGATTGCTTCGCAATCTTCGAGTTAAAAATGGCAACACGAATATCCCATGCAAAAATGAAACTCTTTATATTTCCCGAAATCATAAGTAAGCACGCCAATGTTATTTTATATTGGCACTAAAGATTAATGCACTATCCCTTTCTATGGTTCTCATATAGCAAGGCTCTTTCTTCCTGGAAACGTTCTCTGGAATTACATTCCCATCGGAGTTGATTTGAATCTGTAAAGCAATGGAAATGTATGTTTTCGCTAGCATTACAGCTATAAAATCAACATTGCTGAACTGTCGACAACCCATCAGTCATGCATGGGGTAAGGTGTGATACGGTCGCTTTTATCAGATAGTACACATCAATTTTGAAAATTTAACCGTGATACCATATACATTTTTTAAGTTTGCGCTGGCATAGAGTAATGTTTCCGAGGGTCAGGCGGCACGCCCAAATTAGAATTATTATGGTCTTGTTTTCTCGCAGTCCCCCTTCTTTCCATACGTCTGGGTTTCATGTTAGTATTACAACAAAATAAATACCTGAACATCTGTAAGAAAATACTTGAATATAACACTTAACCTCTCTTGATAGTACCCAAACATCTAAGTCGGGCACACAACCTAGAATGGATGTAGTTCTCCCAAATACATAATTAGCGGATTGGGAGAAGTCATTAATTTTTGCACCCATCTCACTTTTGAATGTCCACTTTTCTAAAGAGCACGAAAGTGCACCATTTGCTACTGCAATGTCGTCTATGTTGTGCGAGACATAACCAAATTCCTTCTTGCACCATTGGACAAATTCGTCTCTGTCGGCATTTGCATGGACAAATCTAAAAAAAATATGTAAAAGTTAGTTACCGAGAATGGAGGAATTACGCTATGTACAGCATAATGCCCAAGTGGGGAAAATTAGTTTAGTTTACTTAGTTTATTTGATATTCATCAGGGGAATGTGGGGTTGATGAATTTTACTTCAGAGTTTTTTACAGTTAAGATGAAATAATTTAATCTTTATCTCAAAATAAATGAATATAAATAGGAAAAATATGTAATAAATAAGTTGAAATTGAAAATTTTTACAATATTTCATGATTTAGCAAATGGCTAAAATTTAAAAAATTCCAAATATTTCTCATAAAAATATTTATAAATGCACTTTACAATAGTTGCTCTTTAACAAATGTTGTTTGTCTCTATTCCTCAGATTCAGAGGGTTGGTCAATTCTCATATGCATGTCGGCACAAGCTTGTTGCCATAGAAATAACCTCACGAAGTATCAAAAATATAAATGCCAACATATCAAATTACTGATAAATATCAATAAATTCGTCAATTTAAGCCATAGAACAAAGAATAGGAAGGCATAATATTAGCAATTTCAACTTTTTATGTCTTCCTTTTCTTTGTTTTATGGTCAAGCTGATCAAAGCAGGTTATATGGACTCCAACATGACAGCCCTGACACTCAGTGCGACTTCTCCTTCTTCCTCCTCTCATGTCACGCCTTGAGCAAACAACACAGTCCTTCTCCTTTCTGCCTTCAAGCTGTCTGATCTTGTGTGGGGTTGGCTTATGCTGTTGTTCCTGGTGGGTTGGGTTTCCACACAGCTCTTCCACTACAGTACAAAGGAACTTATACCTGGTCAGGGGGGGTCTGTCAGAAGTGTTGGCTTGGTAGAGGATGTAAGAACATACCAACATTCGATCGATTAGGGCGAAGAAACACTTTTTCCAGTACGTATGGAAAGCCCTTTCCCCGGCATAGAAGTCCACTTTCTGATCCAGTGTGTCAACCCCTCCCATATGCTTGTTATACTCAGATACAATGACAGGTTTGGTCTTTGTACCACCACGTCTTACCTGGTACATACCGGTTGATAGCATAAGACAGGGCGTCTTTTGAGAGGCCTTCTCCTTCCAACTTAGAACAAGTGTATCCTGGTTTTTTGCATAAATTCATTCCTGGATCTTTGGTTTTGCATCTCTGATCAATTTAAGTATACCCTTTCTGTCGGATCTCAATGTGCCCGTTAACATCACCCCTTTCTAATACAAGTGTTCGGCTAGTGTAATACTTGTATAGAAATTATCGACAAAGAGATGATAGCCTTTATGAGTTAGACCTGACACATCAGTGAGCTTGACAACCACATCATATGAATGACCATGCTCAGAAGGAGGATCTTCATCCCTTTTCCCACAGTATACCTTTGTGTGAAGAGGGAACCCAGTTGATGACTCAGTTACTGAGTACAGCTTAACACCCCACTTGTGATGGTGCTTATTGGGGATGTACTGTATCAACTGGGTTCTATTCTTCATACCTATCAAGCTCTCATCAATTGAGATGAACTGATTAGGTACATAGTGCCTCTTACAAGCAGAATTTAAAGAGTCGAGGAGTAGACGGAACTTGTGTAGAGGATCATAGCTAGGAGAATCACGCTGTGCCTGGTCAGAAGTGTTATCGCTACCGTGAAGAAATCTGAAAATTAGTTGAAAAGTGTTCCTTGTCATGATAGATGAAAAATAGGGTGTAGAAGAGTTAGAGTATTTAGTGTCCCAGTACATAACTAAGTCCTTTTTTACAACAAGTCCCATATTTATGACAAGACCAAGAAATTTCTTAAGAAGAGTAGCATCGAAGTTCAATCGTCTCCATTTCAGCATGCAAACAGACAAGGGTTTGCCCTGAGAGATTGTTGAAGCAATTTGCTGATCGGCATATTTCCTCGTCTCGTTGACAAAACATCTGAGCACTTCTGGTGTTAAAAACAAATCTAGATAGCTACATGGAAGTGAATTCGGAGGTGGAAGATTTCTACCACCGACATTTCTCGCTGTAAACTCTAAAGGCGTAATGTCCTGTGGTGGATAAACGCGAGTCCATATCTTCGGTAATGAATTATCAGCTCGATCTTCGTCTTCTGAGCTCGAATCTTCGTCTTCAGAGTCTGAACTATCAACTGAGATATCACTACTCTCGTCTCCGCTTTCAAACTCCTCATCCGACATTTAAAACATATTTATTTTCAACTTTAAGAAACAACAAGAATCGTGCGTAAATCCGCCATCTTTATTGTACAAATCCGCGCGATGTGCTCGCAAACTTACCTCATCGATGTTTTGATTTGGATTTCGCTTCAAAAATACTATGCCTCAATTCCATGCTAGTTTGTTAATGTAAACAAAGCTTTTGATTCGTCGAGAAAACAAAAGAACATGGGTTTTTGACCAATCAAAAAGCGATGACTTAAGTGGGCAGATCTAATCGGCCCTTGGCAAGACTGGCCATGTCGCGCGGGCCGATTAGATCGGCCCTTGGCAATAAGAGGGTTTTAATAACATGCACACATTTGTAACACCATCAAGAACTCAACTTTAAACATAGCCAAACTTTACAAGTTTTACAGCATTTTTAATTATGTTATTACATGGAATAATGTTGAGAACTTTTTCACTGTATAAAAATTGCTATTGATAAAAAGACCCAATATGTGACATTGCAATTTTTTTTACTATTGCGGAACTTAGGCAAAAATGATCATCTAAGTGATGTTCTCATGTTTGAGAATTAATGCAAATTTGTACAATTTCACAGCCTATGTGTGGAAATTGATTATGTATAATGTTTGGTATTAAGGGACTGGAATCATGATATATATATAAAAAAAAAAAAAAACATCAAGTGAGAAACTAATTAAACAAAACAATGAAGGTGTATAGTAAATATAACATGAGAATAAGACTTTGCATTAATATTATCATTGCCACGTGATTGCAATTTGTTGTATGTAGGATGAATTGAAAATTTTGAAGTATATTTGTCAATTGAGAATTTTCTTTTGCATTTAATTAGTACAATTTCGTGGATTTTTTATATATTTGACAAACATAATATTTTAGGTTTATGAAAAAGCTTTGAAATTAATATCAACATTGTGTCAATGTATCTAGTAAAGTAGATATCGAATATGATAATAAAACAGCAAAAAGATTATTCGTTCCCCTGAGAGAATTGAAGAACGCTATACGGTCAGGACTGATCTTTTTTAATAAGCCAAGCGAAGCAATCGGACGTTTGTTGGCAAACAAACCGCGTAAGGCGACCAAAAATCTGAAATATTCTTTAGAAAAAAAAAACAAACTTACAAATGCATAAAAAGTTGTGCCTAGCTCTTGCCACGTAAAAGAGTTTGTGTTCGTTGTTTAAAAGAAGTTTATAACTAAACTTCGAAAACGAGTCGAGTCAGAAGAGCTACAGAAATATAATTCGATACCGCTGACACAAGAGATATCCTTGACGACGGTCACGTGGAATGCTTACGGTTCCATCACTCATACACCATGACATTATGACGAGAGCCTTCCCAGAAGGCCACTCGTCACAAAAATGAGATGCTAGTGATACTAGCAATAGCTCGATTTGCAACAATTCGTTTTTTTTTGCTATTATTTGCAAGAGCTTATTATATGAGTCGCAAACGGTGACACGAGCGAGATGGTAGGCCGAAAGAGTCCAAGCCATTTGTGGTGGGTTTTCTCATTTCTGGCGGGAAGATGTTGCGTCTGTCTTTCCATTCTAGCGACAAGTTTTATAAGTAATGCTACCAAAATGAACTTCACAAACACCAATACTTGAAAGACTGTATTAATTGAATAAAGTAAAGCTATATAATCGACATCATTTTGCTCAAACAAATCGAAATTTTAGATTTAAGATTTCATTGAAAAAGTAGCTGATCCCATTAAAGAGTGCTCAATACACATAAAGTGTAGAGCTAGTTATATATATAATATCAAAGAGGCAAGATTTTGCTGTTACTCCGAGTTTCGTGCTACGCACTCATCAGACAGTATCAGACTGTATCAGACTGTATCAGACAGTATATCAATTATGTTATTAAAAAATGATTCTTATTACAATGTCTGCGATGAGTTTCGAGAAAATTAATTTTGAAGAAAAATGGTGTTTTTATTTTGCATCTATCCAAATGGCTTCGCTTTTTGGCAAATTAATTTATAAACAAGAATTATCGATAATCACTGTTACTTCTGTGAAAATTTGAGTGCAAAGGAATCGAAATTTGCGACGTAGTTGAAGTTTAAAAATACGCGTGAAGCGCTATTTATTTCGATCGAAACACCTTAAGTCTTATCTCTGTGGTCGGTAGTATCGTCGTGTAGCGGGTAACCAAGTACGTCATATGTTTCCGAACACACGAGTGGGACTTAGAAATATTTTGACAGGGACTACCAAATTTGAGGTTTTTGGTTATCCTCACTTAGAAAAAAAAATTGATGCCGCAGATAAGATTCGAACCTGCGAACCCTAAATATGACCTATCCGATCATTAACCCTAAACCTAACCGGTTACGCCACGAGTGAATTCGCTTGGTTGCACTCCTTTTTTTCTAGTATTTAAACAATTTCTCATTAGCATTTCACTAAATAATTAATATATRAGAAYGAMGTGAACACGAATTATGKTCRGGATAATTTGCATACGGTAAATTTACATTACAATAAACTCCCCTGAGGTTTCCCGTACATGACGATAATACCCTGTGGTCGTACTCAATTTGTATCTGTTAATGGATGTTCTTCTAAAGTTCTTGATGTTGATTGTGGTGTTCCTCAAGGATCTGTTCTTGGTCCGCTCCTCTATCTCCTGTATACGTCTCCACTTGCTGATATCCTTCTCCATTTCTACGCCGATGATGTTGTTTTTTTCATGTTGTTTTTGTACAAAAAGAAAAAAAGCGTGTAATTTGTACAAAATTGAAATTGCTGAATAACAGAGAGTGAACGCTCACGAGCTCTGACCATTCAGAGAGGGCGTAAGATTGAATGGCATCACCTATGCTTCTGTATATTAAAGTGGGGTGGATAAGCCGAAAAATTGTGAAGAAAGCACCAAATTTGGTAGACATGTTTTTAGTTTACTTTTAAGATTCATATATGGAGCCATCGCCAAAACTCAAATCTAGGGGGTTTAAGGGGTGCTGAAACCTCAAAACGAGGCTTTGTTAAAAGACGGTTCTCTGTTATGCTTTGCGAGAATTTGTTATTGTTATGATTTACACCAAAATACTTCTAGTATCCACATATCACCAAAAAACGAGTAAGTAATAACAACTATCAAAAACCTTTCACAATTAAATTGAAACTACTTGCAAGTTATTCTACTCTGATGAACATAAGCACTATACCCTCACTAATTCATATTTCTGATAACTTTGTGTAAATTAATAACTGTTCCCTTAATTTTTCAGGTATATGTATTAATACTACCAAGAATAGCTCTGCAATTGAGGAAAATGACCCTTTGAACAGCTATCCGGAACACATCAAGCACATATAACTATTACTTGCAAGATTTTCACAGTAGAAAAAAATAGGCTCATTCCTATTGTGCAAAAACAGTTGTACTGTCAAATGTTAGTCCATGATACTATTAGTGCATCTCAGATGTCATTGTCACTTTATTCAGTAACTCCTTAACCCTTTCCCTACGGCCATCGGTATCATCAGTACCACAGGAGTGATGACTCCAAAAATTATAATTTCGCAAAATGGCTAGATGCCTCTAAAAAACTTGCTCTTACAAGACAACAAGACAACAAGTTCAATATTCCAATTAAAAGCATGTCTCGGAAATCAACTTTTTTGGTCGAATAAGTCTTTTGTCTTGACGTGGATACTCCATTCCGAGTTTTGCACTTCCTGAGACAACAGCTAAAAAGCTCACTTTTTTGACTTAATGTGCAACGTGAAATTCATGCTTTTCTAGCACAATATCGAAGAGCTACATCCTCCTATTCTTGMATTTAGGGATTTTTATTCGGAATAATTCTCTACAGGCAATACAAGAGCCGCCCCTTTGACRTCCACCTCGACAAACTAGCATTTCTCGAATGCACGACCCAAGTGCACCCTGGGAATGTTGACAACTATGAGACATGGAATGGCCAGTAATCTTACTTTAGTACAAGTCACTCGCACCTACAGGCAAAATATGTTAAAACTTGCCAAATTTACCTTTATAGGTTCCGAAATCTGCCACAGAATGACTAGGGAAACGACCTTTCTCTAACGACAACAATTCAAAGAGACCTTCGSTTTKTTGCCGTCTTCTTCGAAAAATCGCTTTCCACTTCTGATTTCTTCCAGAAGGCTGTCTTTGCCGCCTAGTCGAGCTTAATGATGCAGTCCTAGGGGCTTCTATGCCAGCAAATGACTTAAAAATGCACTTATAAACCTTTTTTTTAGCAAATTTGAGCTCGTGTTCTGGCTAATCTAGCGAGGTGTCTCAAATTCGCCGTGCGTTATTGAAATTTGCATTTCCTCAAGTATTTGAATTGACATTAGTTTGATTGACAGCGCCTTATTTGGAAGTTAAGCAATTTATGGAAGTCTAGCACACACAAAAACTACAAAATTGACAAATTTATCACCGTAGGGAATGAGTTAATAGAATTATTGAAGACATGATTGTTTGCCAGACAAGGTATTGGACATTGAACCATTATTCAATTTGATTAGTCAAATTCAATACCCTATTGTATAATCAACACTATTTAGTAGTAATTAGTACAATTTATTTCACGCTTTAATATAAATACTACAAAATAGGTGATAAATAAGGGCGCGTTTGCACTAGGCAAAATTTTGTTTGTTTTGCAAAAATATCTGTCATCAAGAGCGGTTTTTAAGTGCAAACACGAGTACCAAATTTTGYCCGGTATTACGAAACTTCAAAGAAGCCGGTGTCCTGCCTCGGAGACCTCCAAAATTTTGGTAGTGCGAAAATTCTTTTGTTTCTTGACAGCCATCAATTATCGAATGTCAAATTCATGTCGCGAGACCAGTTTAAAAACCTCACGTATCAAGTAGTTTTACCGCCAACTCGAGGATACCCGTACTATGATTTCAACTATCATGGTTCTCCAATGTTTTCAGCTTTTGCTACTCCGCCTATGGTTCAGCACAGGCCAATGGGAGATATATCAAATTTTGCGTATCCGGGGACATCTCAAAGTGAAGAGGAAGAGGATGGCGATCAGTTGAATAGCGAAGCTACTTCTACTGTCGAGAGACAATCAAATACAACTGCAGCAAGTAAGAATACAAAGACCACTAAAGGCCCGACTAAAGGGAAAGGAAAGCCCAAACAATATGAAACACTTGTTGCTGATGAGGAGCAATACCTATTCAATCTGCGGAGAGAAAACCACGACCAGTTGGAAAGCAAGAACTCGCGCAAAGTGTGGTCCAAAATAGTCGATGCACTAAATAAACAGTTTGGACAAAACCGTACAGTAGAGAAATGCCAACGTAAAATCAAGTACTGGGTTGATAAGTACAAAGAAAGGAAGGACTGGAACAGAAAACAGACCGGGGGCAATCGTTGGAAAAGCCCACATTATGACGAAATTGATTCAGTGCTAGGATGTCGCGACATTGTGACTCTTAAACACGTGAAAGACAGCACTCGTCCTGAAAACTCTGCTGAAAACTCTGCTAGTGGATCAAACTCGACCAGCTCATCGCCAGGTAAACGCAATGTTGCGGGTAGCTCTGATTCTTCTCCAGACAAAGTACAAAATAAGAGGAGACAGCGCAAGAAGAGGAAGCGAGATACTAACGAAGGAGATGGGGATGAAATAGATGTTGCTACGGCTCTAAATTCAGTCGCCGATCAGGGAAACAAGCTTATAGCTGTGATCGAGAATATGCAAAAATCGCAGACACAACAGCTACAAATGATGACCCAGTTTATGAGTTCTATCATTCTATGCTTGAGGCAATGAAGAAATAAACTGCGTAATAAGTTTTTTTTGCACAAAGTACTTTAATACAGATTGCAAGTCCAGTTAAATATTTGAACTGAAGTCATATTAAGATGGATCATTGAAAAACCTTTATTTAATGTCTCATGGAGAAAGTTTCCCGATTGTTTTATGCTAAAGTAATTTGACTGTAAACAAGCATATGTCATAATGGTGGACGGCCACGTCCTCTGAAGCTCCATCATGACAACTTTACAACAGGTAGAGGATCTAATAAGGAAGCAGTTAAACCCAATTAACGTAAAACTAGATGATCTAAGCAAGAAGTACGATGAACTACAGCAAGCTGTCAAATTTATTAGTGATAAATACGATGGCACGATGAATGAAATCAAATCAACGAATACGAAGATTCAGGCTCACAACAGAGATCTAACCACTATCAAACAAGATCTTAAAATCATCGATAAAAGAGCAATTGAATCGCTGGATCAAGTGGAAGAACTAGCACAATATATAAGAAGAGACTGCCTAGAGATTTCAGGTATCAAAGCTACTGATGAACCCTCATCTGAAGCGATTGTACAAGCAATAGGAGCAGCGATCAATACACCTCTCGATTATGATGATATTTCTATAGCGCATCCCATTCCAAGCCACAACCCTCGTCAGCCTCCTAAAATAATAGTGAAATTTAAGCATAGAAAGACGAGAAACAAGTTCTACATCAATCGTAGAAAATTGGCGGGAACCAAGCCGAAGGATATCCCGGGGCTTGATGGCAGCTCAACCGCCGACAACAAGATATTCATATCAGAATCGCTAACCCCCAAGAAAAGAAGATTGTTTGGAGAGATCAACAAATTCAAAAAACACCACAAATGGAAATTTATCTGGACTTATAATGGACGGATCTATCTCAAGGAAAAAGAAAATACCAAGCAATACGCTTTTGACAACGATGACGATCTTCAGGAATTCTACAAGGCTAACGAAACCTATGATGACTACAGCTACTCATGGCGATAAAAAAGATCAAGTTATAGGTATTGTAGCTGTCATACAGAATACTGAACAAAATGCTAAGTAAGTCTCGAACGACATATTCAACATACATACTAAAGTTAAAAAGGACTTTACTTAATATC